AACAGCTTCTAATTCCATCATTCGATCTCCCTAAACCTCAGCTGAGGAGCCTGGCAGTCTGGCTAAAGGCCTGGTTGGGGATGCGGGGTGCAAGGACGCAGTTTTGCTGCTTCGGACGGCAGCCTTTTGCAACACATGTGACTAAGCCACAAGCATTTAGAGCTGGGCAGGGTTGATCCTCAAGTAGAAGGGGTTGCCTGATATCTGTGTATATCGACAAGGCAATCTGAATGCGAACATGCCGGGGGCTGAGCAAACATGTCAGAGCGTCGCCCGAAATTGATCCTGTAACTTGAAGTATTTCTTCACTCATTATGCTGCATCATGGCCGTGTGGCCTATGCCGTTCAAGCAGCTCGTGCCGTGTATGGCGATGAGTGCACCGTGGCCCCCGGGCCGTCGGGGCACAGCTTCCATACGGGAGCCCTAGCGCAGGAGTGAGGATTGTCGTTCTGTCCCAGCGAGAGTGGCTCCGTGGGGCTGCTGATGATAGCGGTTCCGAGAACGGCAGGCTAGGCTTGAATGGTCTATCTCATTGCCACCACCTGCCAATACAGATCTCCACAGCATGGCACCCCCTCTACTTCGGATGATTCCGCCTGTTTGAGAAGCCCAGGAGCCATGATGACCTTCACCATCCCCATCTTCTTTTCTAGTTTGTCGAGTCAGTACCCTTGCAGTTTCACATAGTTGCTGGTGTCGTCGTTTTTGCTGCTGTGGCGTTGCATTCCTTGCCTATTCCCGTGCCAAAGTTCTAGTCACAAGCTTCTCACGCTTTCCGAGGTTAGTAGCACATCCCAAAAACCCCCCAAAAAAACGGACCTCCTCCGAGAATCGGAGCTCCGAGGCCGGACAGCTTCGGAACCTTCCTGATTCACCTGGCAGAAACCGATGAGGACGTACTTGTGCCAAGTCACAGGATGAACCACTCTTCTGCTTGTGCTATAGATTATCTGCTTGAAGTTACCTTTCATTGACCTGGGAGGGATCCGGTCCGTGCAAAATCTGCTACCTAAGCGTGCCGTGAGCACGCTTTGCTTTGTGGTACTCCTGCAAGGCCTGCCTTCAATGTTGCCGTCTTTGCTCGGGTACCCTTTTCTTGACCTTTCTAACTGAGACTTGCGAGTGCTGACGTTCTGTTCATTGCGTTTTTTCACCGCTGTCGCCTTTCAACGTCATGACTGCTAGTTCAGATTACCGGAGGCATTTCCATTTCCCTAGGTGTCGAAATTCACTCAGTCGTTCTACTCCTCTTCCTCCTCCTCCGCCTCCCCTACAAACAGAGCAATAGCCACAGTATAGTACTTCGACCATCATCGACCTACTACCACCACTGTTATCCACAAATCTTGTGGTTGATGCTCTTACCAGCTCCCTGACCGGAATGAGTTTCGGGTCCAACAGCCTTGGTCAAGTGTGTTCATGCTGGCAGCCATGATTGATCCGGCTGCTGGCTGGGGATTGGGAAGGAGCCTGCCGCAATCAGCCCTCGGAAATTCGTAACGCCGGCTCATTTGATTGCTGTCGCATGCTTGCCGGTCCAGTTGCCGTTGCGCGACGTGCCAGTGCAGTTTTTTGTGACGCGAGGCGAGCTGCTCGTTCACCACGTGGATAGCATTCGCGAAGTACTGTAATTTGTGCTTCCGATAGCAGGTTCCGGGATCGGATGACATGACTACTGCCATCAAGCTGCCTTGGCGCGAGGCCGCTTAGTCATGCAGTGCGTCCGGTGCCCAAGCTGCGTTTGTTTCAGGTGAAATCCCCGGACCGGCACCAGCAGCTCAGGCCTGGGCCTCACCACACCCGGCCCGGCCCGGCGTTTTTTTGTCGGCTGCCCGTTGTCCCAGGCAGATCATGACACTGGCGACACCAAGAGAGGGCATGGCAGCTCGTGTGATGGATGTGCCCAGCAGCAGGCGCTGAAATCGGTGCTTCGCTGACATGGCCAAGAAAGCGGCCATCCGTGTCGCTTGTTAATGAACCGCATGTGGACCCAGCGATTAACCACGACTTGTTACTAGGACTGTATGATGCGTGGTATATCCCAGGTGCACGTGCACTGCGCAGGATCACTTGGCAGACTGCTTGAATGGCAACTGCTCGGCTCGGAACACACCAAAGTGGCCGAAATGGCGACTTGAGCCAAAGTGTTGGGCATCCGAGATCCCAATGCACCTCACCCGGAATTGCTGCATCCAGGGGTGTGTTTGCACCTCCAAATGCAGGGGCAGCGGTGACTGTTTCACCCCAGTCGTGTCGCAGCCAGGTAGTAGACATGAACAAGGCTGCTGCCACTTATGTTTGTTGGACTGCCCGCTGTGCTGTGAAGAGCAACAGCACTACCTTCGTAGAGGCAGCAGGAGGCCTAGGAGAAGGAAGAGCGCAATAATCTAGAAAGCTCTTGCTGCTGGAGTTCCTGGCATCGTGCCTTATGAGGGCGTATGTAAAGCGTTGCATATTTCGAATGATCTCATGTGTGGGGTTGGCGGGTCTAAGACTAACACCACGGTCTATCGGCCGTGCTGTAACATGTCGGAAGCCTTCCGACATGGCCAAGGTGCGGTCTTACCAGAAAACTCACAAAGGCCAGACAGACTGTTTGGAGTCACTGGACATCAATACCGTTTTGCCTACCGGCTTACTGCAATCAAGACGCTAGTCTTGACGGATCCAGGACTTACGGTCAACAGTACTGTAACAGTAGTCCTCGTCGTGATCATCTGCCGTCGTCGTCTTCTGTCGTTGAAGCGGTCGCAGGGGCGGTCATCAGCAGGAGCAGTAGCAACAGCACTGGCAGCACCAGGAGCAGCATGAGCAGGAGCAGTAGTTGCAGAAAGGCGGTGATAGGAGTTGCAATAGTCGTTATCCATGATGGCGCGGTAGAAGTGGCCGGTGGTGGTCCGTGTGGCAGCAGTTGATGGAGTCTAAACCCCAATTCCCAAGGCTCTCTACGGCAGCTCTGGTAAATGACCTGCATACAAAAGCCCCTTGATGGTTTGTAGTTCGAGCGAGGAGCATCAGCGAGGGATGCGTGGCGGTGTCCAAGGCACAGGCCTGGCTACCGTTACAGGGCCAGGGGTTGGAGTGGCCTCTTGGCACGAAACTTGTGGAGAAGAGTAATGTTGTGCTGCTTCCAAATGTTTGCCGTAAAACTCGTGTGCGCTTGGTCCGAAGCATTGCTCGGAGCAGGAGACCGGAACCATCACAAATCATCTATCAAACCGGCAATCAACAAGCAGCAGCGAACAAGTAGTGCCTCACCGTCACAACTGCAACGATAAGAACCCTAATGACCAAAGCAATCACACCAACCGCATCTATCACATCAGCCACAACAGCCACAACAACCTCAACGATCAAATAACTACAATCACAACGGGCGACAATTGGCCATTTTGCACGCCAAGTTCCTCGGTTGAGATCTTGCCGGCGACAAACAACCAAGAGCGCTTCGGGACACTTTGCATGTTTACTCTGGTGGGTTTGAGTGTTGTTTTTTGTTATATGGTGTAGGCATGAGCCGAGCGAGGTCAGCAAACTGAAAGCTGCACGCCAGGCCTCATTATAAGGTTCACAGCGCCTCCCGAGCCCCTGGTTAGCTTCTAGACCGTGAGCTTATAGGGCTATGGCTATGAACAATCGCGGCACATGTGCTAAGCATCATGAGCCCACACGGGGAACACCAGGATGTTTACGACAGTCAGGGTGATGAAGTTCATGACGACGGTGCAAATGCCGACTGTCGCAGTGCGATGCTGGGATCCTGTCACTGATGCGACTTGCTGTTGATGACGGTGATGATGGTGGCGATGACGATGATGGACGACGATGATGATGATGATGTTGACGAAGATGATGATGATGAAGAAGAATGTGAGCAAGAATACTGACGGTTGCTAATAATAGTGCGGCGACAAGGCCATGCAACTGTGTGTCGATTGAGACGACGATTGTACAAGCAAGCAGTGATGGAGCTGCCAACCACAACTCTGGCAGGAATTACAAGCGACAACTTTGATGCAAGCCACAATATTGACACAACAGTTTAGTCGTTGTACCACGACGTATCGATGACAGGGAAGCAGTCGAGCAAGCAGGAAGAGTAGTTGATCATCCGCCGTTGTCGTTACAACTCCCTGCGGTGGTTGGTGTTCCGCAGGCTTTGATGGATGCAGTTGTCTGCGGACACCAGAGCTACAACGGGATCCGGGACGAGCGGCTCAATCGCAACACATCAGGCTACCCTGGAGCTGCTCCGAGCTGACATGCGCAGCCGCAAAAGGTTGCAAGTTCCCGTGCATCCCAGAAGAGTACGTAATTGTCTCGAAATCTTACTGCCTCGCTCAGAGCTTTCGAGTCTTGAGGCTGAACATGCTCTACGAGGAAGCCGGCTGCTCAAAGCTTCGACTGGCCAGGGTACAATCTGTAGGTCCGCTATGTCCGGTTTCTCAAAGGGATGTGAAACAACCTGCTTCAAGTTGAGAAACTGCTGCAGCAGGTCAAGTGGCACGCATGTGATGCTGTAGTCACTAAACCGGAAGAGGTGGAAAGATACCAGTGAAATACTAACATCACGCATGGCTGTTTGTCCAAGGTACCCGGATGCGAGCCCTTGTCCGCCATGATCATGCACTTCAAGCAGAAGTGAGTTGCGCTGCAGATGCTCCTTCGTATACTCCCCGATGTGACTCTCGAAAGGTCTCCTGCAGCACCTGTTTATTTTTGACAGGCAACCTGTGCAGAGACGGTGATTTTCCCACCTTGTTCGCATGGAGCGGCAAAAATTCACCGCGCTGTCTTGCTTAGCGGCAGAGCGACTTATCGGCGATGGCATTTCATGGGACTCCTCCATGCCTTGTCGTGTGATTCGGAGCCAAATCGACTTGACTGCTGAGAAGCTGCTCTGGGATCAACTGCCTCGAAGATGTAAATGTGCTAGGAGCTACAATTAATTAGTATCACATCTGCACTGCGTCTGAAGCAGTAGACTTTGATATTGCGATGGCAGCGTCTGCTGACGAGGCTGTGAGAGCTATTGAGTCTTGCCCGAGTGTCCGCTCGGTTCTATGGAGGACCTGATTGCGCAGATTTCGAAGCTGAAGCAGGCGCCTGGAGATTGAGAGGAAGCATGTTCAGAGGTTAGATAGGTTTTATGGCTGCGGACTGTGCAAGTCGTTTCTACCCGTACATGCCTCGATGCTAGTACCCGTTGGTCGTGCTTTCGACTTTCACACAGGCTGAATTGCCTGCCGAACTCGCGAGCAACAGCTTGTGAGCGCACGATCTCGCGACCAATCCTCGCGATGGTGCATGACACGCGTTGTGGAGCTTCAGACTTGCTTGCAGGATCTGAAGTCGAAGAAGTCCTTCGTGAACGTGCGCCTGTCTTCAACCTCTTGGACAGACATATACACGTTTCCGTTCGTGCCGCCGCGACCTCTGCCAGGCCTGCGCGCAGCTGACGGAGATCTCAGAGCAGTGGAGCCAGGCCCGCAGACCGGAGCGGGAGCCGAGCCTTCGGAGTTCGGAGTGCGTCGCAGGACGCCTCTGAGCCCAGTGTGCAGGCTTTGCGAGAGGCTGGGGGGTTCGGGGCTGGGCCCCGGGCTTTCGCGTCGCTTCCCAGAGAGCGCAGGCGGCCAAAGCTGCTTTCACGGCGCTACAGACTCGCTTTTCAAACCCAAAGCCTGGGACCTAGCTCAGCTCTGCTTCCTCGTAAGAATTACACATTACCGCGTGTCTGCGAATCTACGCTCCTTGCTTGGGGTAATGTAATGGTTTGTGCAGATGATCAATCCACGAGGTTCTGGCAAGCTGGGCTCGATCTCTTCCTTGCCCTCGAGTTCCACGTGCCCATTGAAGATGCTGGCAAGTGGCGGGATGCTGCCGTGGAGGTCACTGCGGCTGAGACGCGCTCTCAAATTTTGGTCCCGCCACTGCCTCCACGCGACGGCAAGCGCAGGAAGTGGACGAAGAAGCGCGAGAGCGGGCAAAAGAACAGGCCAGGCCCTGGGATGCCCTCGGACGCCTTTCTTCCATGTTCCGCTGATTTCAGGCCCGTCTTCGCCGCCTCCAGGAAGACAAGACGCACAACAAGGGCCAATTCGGTGGGGGTCTCTGTTTCAGTGTTGCGGCTCTCTGTTTTTCAAAACAGCAAGTTCCTCGGACGTGGGTTGGGCTTTTTTTGGAGGCGACGCCGCGACGCCTCTCTCGCTCGGAGAGCTTCTCGCCTCGCAGGGCATAGTCCTGGTCGAGGAGGCATTTAGGGTATAGGGATGCATAGGGGTGGGACACCCAAGAGACCCCCCCCGCCCCCGTGAAAGGATGACCGCCGTCCGGGCATGTCGCGGGATGCCCGGGCGGAGCTCCGCGTGAAGACAGTTCTGGAAGAGGCCAGGGAACCGGGTTGCCCTTTCGAGCTGTGTTTTGGACGCCCTCAGCTTCAAGTCCCTGTCGTTGTTGTCTTGGCATGGGGGTTCGAGAGATTGTGCCCGTCACGGACTGGCTGTTTCGCCCAACAGCTGCATCGAGCTGCCGGCAGACACGATCGTGCATCTCGAAACGCGACATGCAGTTCAATGCAGTCCGAAGTCAGATGCGAGCAGCAAGATTGTATACCTCGGTGTCTCTCTGCCCATAAGCGGCCAGAAAAGGTATGTCTTTTCGAACCCATTCTTAGCAAATGCCACGTTTCGCTGGACAAGCTCATTGTGCCACGATTCACCGGCATTTTGCAGTTAAGGTCATCACGTGTGAAATTCGCCCGGCTCTATGCCACTTCCGGTGCCAGACAGACAGGATTTCAAACTGAATCCCTATGCCTATGCCAAACTCAAGATGCAAATAGCCTGCTCGTGTAGAGAACCCGCGCTTTTGACCCTGATTGCGCCATTGTGTATCTTTGCTTTGGAGGCAGCCTTGGATGAGCCCTGTTATGTTGATGCAGCATGATATCCTCTCGCTGGGTTGCCCGTTTGACGCCGTGGAGGGTGGGGGGCTGTGTCACGGCTCTGAAGAAACCAGACGCACCCAAGTTTGAACATTTCGTTCGTGGTCTCATCAGAGCCCTGATCGCTCGCTGCAAAAGCATGACTGACGACGGGTTGGCACACATGAAAATGCGGATTTTCCGACTATGCTGTGGCGTTGTCCCATGGTCGATTTTCTGCCTTCAACCTTGCCCAGCATCCTGAAACAGCGCGCTGGATGGCCGGCACATGCCACCAACACGCTTGTTCGCAGGAGCAACATGGGTCAATCTTTCAGCCTGGCCTGCAATTCAATGCCTCTCGCTTGCTTCAGCAGTGAATGGCCATGGAGACCTAACTCCCTCCTCCCGTTTTGCTCCCGACGACGGCACCGAATCCCGAATGAAAATGGGGCCAGGATGCCGGATCTACGTGCAAGCCAAGCAATCGGGCCGGGTTGATAGCCTTTACTTGACATTAGATGGAGTATGTCTGTTGCCAGAACAGCACTACAGGATTGGGGTGGTAACTCTCTTGAGTGCGATCTACTGTTTTTCCTTCTTGAGTCATTGGACATAATCGCAGGCGGATGTCACGCCGATTGAATACATGCCTTCACGCCTTTTGTCCCTTTTGGTGGATACAAGGCACCATTCCTTCGCCAAGCTGACTTTGTTGGCTGTGCGTTGTGAAAGTTCGAGAGTTGACCTATCCGTGTTTAGCACTGTTGCAACACTTGAGGAGTAGTTTGAATTGGCAGGTCATTCGCATTCCCCCCCAATCAGGTCGTTGACAGTGTACGAAAACGCTCAGCGTTTCTTCAGGAAGTGTGTGGACAGCAGCTGGCTTGTTACACGACTGCGAAAAGAGGCATTCTCCCACTTAGATTTCCCAGATCGTCGAGCTGCGTGCCAAGCCACCCAGTGCGCTGCCCGATGTTGCGAAAAAACCGCACAGGGCGAACTGGCCTTCTTTTTGGAAGCAGGGACCGGGGTTGGGACTGGTTTCTCGAGCGATTCTACTTTGTGAAGGGCGGAGGATGGCGAAGGTGCGTCTAGAGCAGGGTGAGGTCGGGTGCATGTCCCCCCCCCCCTTGGTGTTTGTCGAGTGGCACATTTCCCTCCTCCTGTCATGGGGGAGACCGCGCAGGGAACTATCGCGCCAAGGGCCCTGAAGCTTCCGCATCAACGAAGGAAAGCTTCTCCGTTTCACGAACCGTTGACACGAATCCAGCTGAGCACCTTCGGCTCTGTCTCAGACAGCATCGGAAGCATCCAGCAGCAGAAATGCCGATCACATGCCGGCAGATTGAACATGCTTGTGAGTTCGTGAAATGCTGCGCGCGGCAACTCCACTGGTTGACAACACTTCGTTTGAAGCCAGCATTGATCCGAGGCGAAACGAACTAGCAGGTAGCTAGTCAAGAATGGGAAAATGCTGTTGAGCTCCTTATGGCTTTGGGTGGAACCCGTTTATGCCCAAGCTTGTCAGTGTTGTGGTCAATTGCTCATTGATTTCTTCGAACTGCTGATGTTATTCTGCAACGAAGGCACATCAAAGGATTTGGAACAACTGAAATGAAGACAGGCGGAACTTTAGAGAAAATAATCTCACATTCACCACAGAAGCAGGTGAAGGAGTACAACCAGCACGGCCGCAGTTTGTGCGTCCTCACGGTCAGTTCGAGGTATTGCAGAAAACAAGAATGAACTTGCTTGTTAGGCTTGTGCGATGCTTACAGGCTCGCCGGAGCTGCGAATTTGGCACTTGTCAAGAGGATTTTGCCCTGTGCGGGTTTTGCATATCGTCGTCGTCAGGGTCGTCGTCGTCGTCGTCGTCGTCGTCGTCGTCGTCGTCGTCGTAGTGGTGGCGTAGACACGAAGTAGGCGTCGGAGCAGGATGAGAAGCACGAGCAGGTACTACAGTTAGCAAGGACGGCAGAGGAGACAGTGTTGGTGGGCGGAACATGGAGGGGGGGGCGGGGCCTGGTGCTGAAACTCCGAAGCTCCCGTGCCGGCAAACTTGAGACTCTCCCGAAACTTCCGATGCAGCATTGGACTGCAAGTTTGCGTGTTTCTTTAGTGTCGTGTTGCAGCTTTCGTGATCTGGCAGACACCGTTCCTTGGATCGTTCTCCGAGCTCTGGCAGGATGTCTGCGTGGTGTGTCAGGAGGCGATGCCTGTAGGCGGGCCGGAGATAGGTCGGACCAGCGGGGCGCATGTTTCCGCTTCTGCCAGGGTCGAAGGCCAAAGCCATGCCCTGCGGGCACCTCTTCCACGACGAGTGCCTCCTGTCCTGGGCCGCTTCCTTAAGGCAAATTGCCAAAGCTTTGCCTGGCCGCAGAGAACAGGTTTGGACAGGGTTCACAGTAGACCGCGGACTGCAAGACTTTACCTCGAGATCCGATCCGAGAGACTCTTGCACTGGAGCATAACAAGTCTGTCTCGTTTTGGATCCGATCACGTGGTTTGTTGCAGACTACAAGCGCCGTGGCAGGCGCAGTGTAGGACCAGAGCAGTCCGCGATCCTGCCCGCCAAGGTGAAAAAAAGCAATTCGTGTCCAACATGTCGTTTCGATGACATGCCCAGCGAGAAGCGTCACTACGATGATGTCTGGTTCTTGGGCTGGCAGAGCCAAACACTGGAAGCAGTCTCGAGAAATGCAGGGTCATTGTGGCATCCTGAGCCGTGCAGGGTTGCTTGAGCAGGTCCAGCGGCAAGTGATGCAAAGACAGCCGGGGCTCTACTCGTAGTGCCAAGGAAAATGAGATGTGCAGAGACTCTTGAAGGCTGTTGCTCTGGGTGTCCAGGGGAGCTGATCATCGCCATCGCAGCTTTTGCTTCTTCATTTTAAACTCTGTGGGACCCATCTTTTTCCCCGTTTCGGTAATGAGACGGTTGTGGCTCTTGGGAGTCATCATTGTTACAGGCTGGGACTTGCTTGGTGAGGGCTTGCCACCTTGGTGCGTTTCGGCCCTGTGAAGGCGTGACAGGAGCTCCATGGCGCCAGATGCTGCCAACACGACGGCTGGACAGCCATGATGGTACTGGTCATGATGGTGGATGGAATAGCGAGAGCCACATGAATTTCACCAATGCCATGATTTCAGTCGCTGGGCAGCGCTGCCTCTTGCAGGGTCTTCCACAGTTACTGGTCGGCACTCAACCCGAGTGCCCAGGCAAGGTGCCTCATGATGTGCCCTGGACTGCGGGACTTGGACCACCAAGTGGACGGGCTTCATGCCTCTTGGACTGGTTTTCGATAGGTCATACTTGTAGTGGAATCTTCCCCCTTTTAAGTACAGGACCGGCTTGTCGCAGCAGACTACTCCACGCCGGTGGCGCACCTTGAAACTGCAAAAGACGGTCCGAAGCATCCGGTGTCCACTCGTGCCTTCGATGTAGGACCCATGACCCAGACGCTGAAGCCAAGGCTGGCAGACAACGTTGCCCACTATGCCTCTCCGCCTGCAACCCCAGCCCCAAGCCCAAGCAGAGTGACAGACCCTCCTTTGGAATAGGGAAGCTTGAGTTTTGTTTTTTTTTTCGGCTAGATTTTGGACAGTGTGCCCATTGCTTTGCATCTCCCGACCAAGTTTGCGGAGCTTTCCAAGATGTTCTGCGACAGAAGGCACAGCAGCGGGCCCATGGGGATGCTCTAAATGGTGGTGTCCATTCCGAGACTCATCATGTCGTGTTCTGTGCATTTGGCACTGACATGAACTGAGAAGCTTGAGAAGCATTAAGTCCATCGTTCGGCGGCCGGCTGCAGTTTTCGGCCCAGCTGCGCACACCTCGTGCCTGCCAGCAAATGGCGAAGGCATGCTTAAAGCATGCTGCTCTCATTGCGCTCGGCAGGCTTGCTCTCGCCGAGGATAGCTTAGGGCTGAATAGGGCTGAACTTCCTTGGTGATGTATCGTGACCGAAGAAAGGGTTAGGACTTTTAGTAGGAAGTGATGACTTTCGCCTGATTCCTTTCGCCACCTGAGGAGACATTGGAAAGCCTGGGCATTGGTCCTCGTAGCAGGTTTGCTTCGCTGTTCGACTCATCGGACGTGAACGCAGACGGTCAACTGTCTGGTGAAGAGCTCCATCGCTTTGAGGAGAGCCACTGCTGCAACGTGAGGCGCCTGCAGGTCATGGACCGACCCCTCCTACCTCAATCCCACTGGGGGTAGCAAGCTGCTTCCAGATAGGACCGCGACACCCACACTTCATCCGAGGAATGGCAACGACCTTCTTCGTGGAAATGCTCTGCTCCAGCACTTCGAGGTGACGCTCTTTTCAGGGGCCGACTGCTCCGGCCACTGACCTAGGCAGATGCGTTGCACATACGACGAGAACCCCCGAGCCAGATTTGTCAAAGCTGTCAAGCAAAAGACCAGGTCAGAGCCTCGTGGTGCAGAACAGCAGCAGCGAGCAAAGATGTTCGGAGTGCTTCGACGTCTGCAACAAGGAGCAGCCTAAGATCGGGGACTTAGTTGGGTGGAGCCGGGTTCCCGAACAAAGCAGGCTCTTGGACAAGAGCCTCTTAGCGCTGGCGTTGACCTGGTGCCAGGAATTTCCTGCTGGCTCCGCGATGTCCACTGTCAACGGGCCCCCTTGGCTTAAACGGGGAGGCAAGCTTGCCGAACCTGCTCGCAGCTCTGAGGAACGAAGTCTGGAGTGTTGCATCCAACGTGCGGTCTCTGCGAGTCGACTCCGGGGCTGCGAAGGCTTTGCTGGGCTGTGACCTTTTCTGGTTTGACCAGTCTTGGGAGGCATGGCAGGTATAGGCATAGGGAGTCTGTGGGCATGGGCATTTGCATTTCTTTGCCTGAGTAATGTCGTTGTGTGGGGGTCCGACATGTTTCGCGAAGATCCGGCTGACTGTTGCACTTGAACGAGAGCCTGAGCGGCCATACATCTTGTCCCGTGCGAAGTCTGCCATGCTTGCGATGTGAGATGCAAGAACCATTGGCCAGGTGGTCCTCAACCTTTGCCTTGGCCGCCTGGCACGAGACAGCAAGTCTCGCAATCGTCCCTTTGGCCATTGAGCGGAGCATGTCCCATCCAAGGCACGTACAACTATGGTGTTGCGGGCAACGAGCTCACAGCCGTCCACACCGTTCGGGACGGTTGCCTCAACTTCGACACCGCTCAGGACCGGGCATCCGAGACGCCTTCCGAGCATGCAAACTTGCGTTGCGAACCTGACGAAAGTTTTTCGACGATGGCATCATTCGGGCTTGCATGCCTCTGCAGGCACCTGCACACGTCTCGGCAGTCCCGCTCGACCTCCTCGAGCTTTCCACAGGCGTTTTCCTCAAAGCTGAGCCTCTGCTGAAGGTCAAACTCATTCAAACGATCGGAGCCAGCATCCGGCAGCAAAATTTGCTCAGTCGAGATCTTGCTCCGAGGATGCGGATCCCTTTGACGATCGCCTGGACTCAGCGGAGGCCATGTTGCGCTCGAAATCCTGCATTCGGTAGGGTGCCTTGGTGAGGCCGCACATTTGGATTTAGACCCGCTGATCGAATCTGCTGATCGCAATGGCGACTCCTGTATGCAATGGACCAATGGAAACAACTGGCGCAACGCCCCGAGGTGACAATGTCTTGGAATCCGCTCCTTGTGCTGAAACGGTCACCGGCAGATAGCCGGAGCTCAGGATGGTGTCATGAGCATTGAGGAGTATACGACCCTGTGACCTGGCTTCTGAGTGCCTTCTGAATGCAGAATTCCAGCTGCAGTGCGGTGCGACATGATCCGGATGCTAGTCCATTTGCACAGGCCCAGGCGCTTACGTACTCAGCAGCATGCAGTTAGACCGCAGGAGCTTTACCAGCTGCTCTCTCATTTGCTGGGGATTGTGCAACCACGAGGCTAGTCCATGACGTTGCGCGGCAAGCGGCCATGCGCAACTTCATGTCAGCCGAATCCATGCGGGACCGACCTGTCCGGGGCACAAAGTTTGCGCGGGCGGCTGCACCTCGCAGGTGTTCACTGAACAGGTATGTTAGAAAGATGAGTTGTTGCCGCAAGTCACTCTTTTGCGAGAAACAAAGTCTGTTGTTGCTCCACGCCCGTCGTCTTGTCCCTCTGCTGGTGATTGCTGCGCTGATCTGCGAAGCTCTACCGCCGACACATTCTAGAGCGGTTCTTTGAATCATCTCGGGCACCCCAACCCAAGCTCTGAAGAGCCCCAGGAGGCTGCGCTAGCTGCAGTGACAGCGCAAGCGCAAGGGAGCACCGAGCACGTCACCCAGGCTTTTAGTGCGGGGTGCGGACATTTTTGGGTTTGTATGGACCCCCCAACAAAAAAGCAGTCCGGGAGTCTTGGGGCACCAGGCCAGATACCAGCTCTGAGCATGAAAAAAAAAGGGGGACGTGTCTCCGCTTGGCTGCAGGCCCAGCGGGACGCTGAAGCTCAGAGAATGTTTGGAGCCGACTACCAGCAGGTGGGCCGACTCTTTGCCTGGCGGGGCCTATAGGGCCAGGGAGGAAGGCACTTTTTTGTTCTGTTAGAATAGTGTAGTCGGTGTCATTGGTGTGGTTTTGGACAGAGGATCCCCTGCAAGTTCATAGCTCTCTGGCTTTGGCTTGTTGAGCCTGTCAGCATGACGAATGTCTTTTTGCGTGAGTCCAGCACTGGCAGGCGGTGGATCACCCAGCAGAAGGAGTACCTGAGCCGGTAGAAAGGGGCCCAAATGGCAACTCTGGCCAGATTGATTTGACTCGCCATCGCCGCTTAGGGCTTGTGGGTCACTCCACTGCAGTGTTAAAGACGACTGAGTCGCGAGAAGAGATGCATTATTGCTACTCGTATTTCCTCCCTTCGAGATGCCAACCTTGTTTCGGAACAAGTCGAGCACGCAAGGAGAGGTGATCGTCTCGGGCGGGCCTGACGGAAGCGACTATGGCGATGTCAGGAGGGAGGGACGTGCTACGACATGAAAACCCGCTGACCGCTTGCCGCCCTTCCCTGGGCCAGGGATGCTTCGCCGGTTTCAGGGAGCTACGACCCACAACAAGCCGGTGACGTGATGATGTGCGTGGACGGGACACTTGGCGCCCACCTGGATTCGGATTTGTCAGTTCGTTCTGAGAGTCCCTGAACCATTCCTGATCTATCTGGTCCTTTGAGGAAGGATTTCCAGGCCGGATTCTGCTACAACTACTGCAAGATGGACTATCCAGTTGCCACGCTGAACATGTGCTGGAAAAAGGTGGGCCTGCTTGCGACTTCTCGCGGGCTGCAGAGATCCTTTTATGGAGCTTGGCAGGACTGCCCAAGTGGCTGGAAGGAGATCGCAGGAGGGATGTGCAAGAAAGAGGGCTTCAATCTTGCCACCAAGGCTCGTCGGAAGGTATGATGCAAGTGGCAGGAGATTACAGCAGCTATTGCGCTCCGAACTTTTTGACGCTTTGGCTTTGCAGGCGAAGGGGCACTACAACCGAGGGATGGGCGCGCTGCCCTCCACATGTCACTCGGCAGCCGTGCATGCCCAAACCGCTTCGCTCATGGACGTGACACATCTTTTGTCATGTTTTGTCGCGACACCCGAGGCCGGCTGGGAGACTCGTTCGGACCTGGAGCCAACCCCGACAACGGCAACCGGGATTTCACCGTCATTATGGTCTCGGACGGGGGAGCACATGTTGTCCGTGGTAGGAAGGTGCTGGCAGTGTCGCGAGACTACGGAAGTCCACAGCCCATTGGTGTAGGACACGCAGCTACCCTGGTGCTCCGGAGACTTCAAAAGCGACGTC